CTTCCTTCCCCACCCCTCTACGCCAGATCCCCTCCCTGCTGACCCCACCACTGCTGAGAGTGTGGCCTTTCTTGTTGCTGCACACGCTCGCGCTGTCTGGGATTCTCGCGATGCTGTAGCGCAGCGTCATGCGCTTCCTCTGTCTGAGCGTCAACACTTCAGTGTTGTCGCAAACGCCAAGGACTTCCTAGATGCTGTAGTTGCGCGCTACTCCACCCCTGCCTCCACCTCTGCTGGCCGCTTGATCCTCCCCATGCTATTCCCTGATCTTTCCGCTTTTCCCACGGTTGCTGACCTCGCTACTCACCTCCATGCACTAGAGACTAGTTACCGCGCTACTAGAACTGTCCCTCAACTCACTGCATTCCCCCTACTGTTCTGCGCTACCCTGTATCTTATTGTCATGCGCCTGCCTGACCGCTTAGCCACTGCCCGCGACCGCTTCCTTAGCTAGCACCCTGGCGACCTCACAATAACCGCCTTAGTCACTGCCCTGTCTGAGATAGAGACTCGCCAAAGCACTATCGCTCAGTCAAGCGGTGTTGCGGCGGTCCCTCTCTTTGAGGGGTGTGCTCCCTCCCAGTGCACCTACGCTGACGTTTCCACCGCAATCGCTACGACTGCCCCTTCTGCTAAGACCGCAGCTGCGGTGCTTCCGCAGCAGCGCCAACGTTGGGGCCATCGTGGCCCCAAGGGGGGGCGTGGTGGTGGTGCTGGTAGTGGTAGGGGTGGTGGCGGGGACAGTAGTTTTGAGGAGGGAATAGGGCAAGTGTCCAGGAGCAGCAGCAGCTGCAGCTAGCGCAGCAGCCGCAGTCGCAGCAGCAGCAGCAGCCGTGGGCACGCCTCCCGCTGGGTTGGCCAAGAGCCTCTTGAGGTGGTGGCCGCGGTGGCGGCCCTCGCAGCTTGGCGCTCACCGACAGTGTCGGTGCTGTGAGCTGCCAGTATCAGCTCCAGAATGGGCCCCTCCATAGCACTGCGTGCCGCCGCCCGCACCCGACCGCCCGCTGCTTCCGCCGCCTCCACGACCTCCACGGCCTAGCCATGATCTTTCCTAACTAGCACAGTCTGCTCCGCCACAGTGTTCCTGTTTTTGAGTTAGAGATGGATTAGATTAGTTCTACCTTACATTCTTTGTATGCTGATGCTTCTAGTGTGTTCGGACCACCCTGTGTTCTCTAGCTTAGGCATTGCACATGTGTGTAGTACAGACTCCCCTGCTACGTCACGCGTATGACCCTTTGCTTTGTCTAGCCTAGGCTCCACACTCGCTCCTTCTTCGTCTGCTACTTTTGCGTCGCTGTCCTTCACCTTTGTCTCCGGAGCGTCTGCCAGCTTCTTCTGCAACCACGCCACTATCAAGCCGCTTGCTGCGCCTACCACCGTCGCCCTTGCTGACCCCTCTCTTAGACTTATAGTTGCTCGCAGCTGCACTAACCCCTCCTAGTCCAGCGGTCCCCTCGGGTTCCCTTACAGACCTACACATCCCTTCGTTCTCGAGGAACTTAGTTGGTGTCGGCTGTCTTCAGGACCTCGGCGCCACCATTACGTTTCCTGGTCACGAGCGGTATGCTGTCTGTACCGAGGCCATCTTTGGTTGCCCCCTTACGATGTTCCCCCGGGACCCTGTGTCTGGCCTGTTTATGCTGGACACTGCTTCCCCCCAAATGGTGTGTCCTCCCTGGGCCCTGCGTCTTCCCAGGTTGCTGCGGCTTGCTCGTGTCGGTCGCTCCTGTAGTTGGTGTTTTTCGGAGTCGTATTTTTCCTCGGCGATTTTCCCTGGCGAGGACTGGTCGTGGGGTGGAGATTTTCCCCCATCATTTCCTCCTTCTCGCATCGAATCAGCTTCGTCGAAGTTGATTTTTTCGGAATCCCACGGCCGTTTTCGGATCTTTTTATTTTCGCCAGCTAGATCCGCAATCACTGGCGACTCCCGTTTTTTTACTTCTGATTGGCTGAAGGAATTCCGCCACTGTTGCGTGCCCGATACTCTGCGCGTGCGGTCTTCATTTTGCTGCAGTCGAAGATTCGATGACCCGGCACCCCGCAAAAATCACACGTGTAGTTGGTGTTTTTCGGACGTGGCCGCCCCTCGAATCTGTCGACTTCCATCGGGTCGGCGAACGTGGGGTGAGCCGAGCGGTCGCCCTGTCGCGTACTGCCGACGTGCGTCCGTCGTGTTCTGGCGTTGACCATGTCGAAGCGCTCCGCTGCCGAAACGACGTCACTGTAGCTCGCGTAGTTCGACGCTGCGACTTGTCGTTTGACTTCGGTCTTCAGCCCGGCGAGGTACGATTGTACTTTTTCCCCTTCGGTCAGGTCGGGAATGCGGTTATAAAATTCCTCCATCTGTTGCGTGTACTGCGCTACACTCCCGAACTGTCGGTATCGATGAATTTTTTCTCGGGCAAGGAAACTGGAATTTATCGGCTCGAAGCGTTTCAGCAGGTTGGTGCGGAACTGCTGCCACGTGGCTTCACCGTGGATGAAAGTACTGTTGCCGCCAATCCACTCGAGTGCCGGCCCTCGCATCAGTGTCGCCGCGAGTCGTACACGTTGACCGCCCCAGACTGGCGAGCTCCATCCGACGGCTGCGAAGTAGATCTCCATCCCGGCGATCCATCTGCGGGCGTCGGAGTTTCGATCGCTTGGATCGAACGGCTCAGGTGGGCGCGGTTTCGGAGCCTCGAGAAACTGCTGCGACTGCTGCGTCGTCGCCGTTGTCGTCTCGTGCTGCGCTCCGGCGAGTCGAGTTACTCGCTCGAACTGGTTTCGCCACGCTTCGCGATCCGCTCGCATTTCCTCCTGAAGGGCTGCGATGCGCGCGAAGAGCTGCTAGGTAACCTCGGCGTTGTCGAAGGTTGCCATCCTGTTCAAAACACGCACGGAGGGGGTAATTCAAAAATCTGGGAGCTGGTGCTTACGAGAATCGGCGTCGAATTGGTCGCCCCCGGCGGTTTTTCGAGGCAGGATCCCTGCTGCTGCTGTTTAGCTGAGCGCGGTCGAGTGAGAAAAGCTCTGATACCAAGTGTCACAGGATCGAATGTGTCGAGGAAAAGTTGCACTATCGATTAGTACAAGGCGCTTTTATACTTCCAGAGTACATCAGGTATCCAGGTTTATCCTATCCAAAGGGAATAGACCCTTCTAGAAGATAGAATCACCCTGCGTATAGCCACGCGAGGCTATTGGCTTTAAGGGATTACGGCAGGATTACGCCAGATAGCGCACCAGTACATCCCAAGCCTGGTCGGTGATATAATTATAATAGCAGGATAAACCAAAGGTTAATGGAAAAGAGGAAACCAAATGAGATGAGATAAAGAGAAATGAACGAGGAAGGAAATAAGAAAAGGGACAAGTGGTGTAACGAGGTCGTACTCTCACACTACCGGGTGTCCGAAAGCTAATCTAGGTTGAAATGGTAGAAGCCATGGAAATGGCGTAAGATGAGATCTAGTTGGTAGGAGAGAATGTAGAGAGAGAAGGGGGGCTCGACTAGAAGAGAATGAGGTACAAGAAGGGGGTTGTCCCCTCTACAGTAGGATGCAGTTTGTAGCACAACTACCAAGCTTACAATTATATAAAATATAATTTTACACACCCCCTAGGCTTGGTAGTCACAAGCCCACCCAACACCTACACACCCCCTAATCCCGTACACCCTCATGCTCATGAGCAGCCGGGTATCTAACTCTCGTGCAAGGCGATGACACCCCCGGATAAGAGGCAGCTGGCAGCGTTTGGGCGGCTTCAATGACGACAGCGGCGGAGCACGTGCTCAAGGCGGCTGCGTCGATGAAGGCACGCGGCGACTACGGCGGCTGAGGGCTCTCGGCGGTGTGGCACGACCCGGCAAGGACCGAGCAGAAGACAGCAGCTGCGGCAGGAGGAGGACGAAACGCAGGGGAGGGAGAGGTGGTGGGGCTGCAGGACTTCAACGCGGCACCATTCCTGGCGCGGCGCTTACTGGCAAGCGGGCGGGCTGCACATGAAGCGGCTGCGGAGGTGATACGCGGCGGCTGCAGCTCGACGACACCGCCACGGCACCAGAAAGACGCCGCAACAGCGTGGCGTCGGAGCCGTGACTGCTCGTCGAAGCTGAGACGGCAGCACCAAGAGGCCGCTGCGACATCTCGAAAAAGATGCCACAGTGGCAGGCAGGCGGAAAGCCGCAACAGCGGCGAGCAAGGACGGGTACGCAGCGGAAGCGTAATGAGCAGGCCCGGGACGGGCGGCCTGCTCTGATACCATGTCTGAAAGCTAATCTAGGTTGAAATGGTAGAAGCCATGGAAATGGCGTGAGATGAGATCTAGTTGGTAGGAGAGAATGTAGAGAGAGAAGGGGGGCTCGACTAGAAGAGAATGAGGTACAAGAAAGGGGTTGTCCCCTCTACAGTAGGATGCAGTTTGTAGCACAACTACCAAGCCTACAATAATATAAAATATAATTTAACACCTGGGCCATGGCGGTCAGGACGGGGCAGAAGCTAGCGCACACGCTGTAGTTGTTAACGTAAAAATATTTACGATCAAAGACAACTATTGTGCAGCCGTGCTAATCCCCTCCGACCACCCTTAACTAATTAAACGGGAAAACGGAAGGTTCCTGGAAAGCTCGGGCTCTGATACCAGCTGTTATGATTGAGGAAGTGTCAATGTACTAGAACGTGAGAATAAAAGGTCGCTATTGCAATGAAAGGCACGAGGTTATATAGGGGTTGGCGTACTAGTGCGATAACCTCGGAACGTGGGTAGGTTCGGCAATGTGGCGACAGTGCCGGACGCGACTCGGGAAAGGGTTGGGCCCAGTAAATGAGGCCGAACGTGACGAGTCAACTCAGTAAGGAATGGAAATTCCTTACAGTTAGCATGACTGAAGCGGTTCGTTACGCCAATTCGCGTAATTGAAACAGTATGCTGACGTCATTCTCGAGACGCGGGATGCTTTTCTAACGTCAGGACTCAGACCTGTTTCCTTAACGAGAAACTCGATACTGCTAGCTACACCAAAAACGGAACTTGCAGGAATGCAAAACTTAATTTAGCTACACCTGGGTTGGTTGAATATCCAGTCCCAATATTCATCTACACCCCTAGATAGCCCAACTTGGTTATATATACCCAAGTATAAGAAACTATGTAGGACAAGGAGAATGTTATATTCTAATATAGTATCCATTGCATAGCGCGCAGCCATGGTATTCTGGATTACTTGAATGGAGTGCTGCTAGCAGAGGGCTGAATGCAGCAACAAGAGGGTTGTCAAAGTATTCGTGAATCATGGCATCCCCCACTAGATCGCTTTAGGGGATTCTCCGAACCCTGCAGAAGAAAGGGCTGAAAGCAGCTCATGTGCCACTATTGGCTTCCTCACAGCTCCATCCATCCCTGCCTCCATGCATGCTCTCTTCACACCTGCATCCAAGTCAGCAGTGAGTGCTATGATGCAAAGGCGCTGATTCCATGGACCTGTTTCCACCGTTTCATCGATCGCACATGCTTCCCCTGCCCCGTCTGTTGCGCTACTGGCTGCCATGTTTGCCTCTGGCACCTGCTGTGCTCTCTCCATGGCACGGATGCGACGCGCCGTCTCGAATCTGCTGGGGAAAGGGACTCAACCCGTGTCAGGGATGGCAGGAAGGTGGAGTGAAGGATGGCAACATTTGCAGATGAAAGGGGAGAAAGGAAAAGGGGACCCTGCTGCTCAATTCAGACAACACACCTCCTTCATGTGCAACTCACAGATTTCATCACTTTGGTAGGTGGAATGGGCTAGTATGCCAACACCAAGGTAACAGGGTAACACAATGGCAGCAACAACAGAAAGGGAAATGGAAACAAGTTACCAGGTATGGTAACGCCAACGGAGCCCAAGCTCACCCGTCGATGCCGGGCGGCATGTGGAGGTCGAGGAGAAGCAGGTGGGTAGGCGAGGAGGGAGAGGGAGTGGAGAGAGCGTGTAGAGCATCCTCCCCTGAGCATAGCAGCAGCACATGTGCCCCGTAGCCCTGCAGTGTTCTGCGCGCCACCATGCGGTTCACAGCGTTGTCATCCACCACTGCCACCCGCCGCCCCGCCACCGCCGCCCGCACCAGCGCCTCCACCTCCCCCACGCCGCCCGCCATGCCGCCGTCCTTGCCGCCCAGGGGTTTGGAGGGAGAGTGCTTTGGTGGTGCCTGGTGCTGCAGCGGTGCATGCTCCTGCATGCCCGGCTTCATGCCATTCCTTTCCACCGCACTCCCCTCCACATCGCCCTCCTCACTCTTGTCCTCAACCCCCTCGCTTGCAGTGACCACCCCCCCCCCCATGGGCAGTGCCACCAGAACAGTGGCGCCTGTGGTGGCGTCTGAGAGCACTGACATGCCCCCCCGCATCTCAGCCACCTGCGGAGGGAAGTGGGGAAGCGGGGGAAAATCGCAGGAGGGTGAGGGGGTGATTGTAAGGTGAGTAGAATCCCACTTGCATCGCAACAACAGGAAACACACAGGGGCGCTGGGCAATGAAGTGACCAGAGGACATATCTGAGGCACTGTGACTCTAACAAATCTCCTCATCTCCTCACAGCTTCACAAACGCCTTCTTAAGTACCCATCGCCATATGTGCTGTCATGTGCCTGGTCATTCATGCTCGCAGGCTTTGAATCCGCTCAACGCAATCCCGTGGTTGTTGGATTTCCACACTTGGCTTGAAGACAGGTTTATGGTACGTGGATCCTATTCATGGAGTCTGATGAGATGGGATCTGACCTCATTTCAAATACTACTTGGTTGGCACCATTCATTATACGAGACTGGTCATATATGCTGTTAGCGGTGGCTCTCATCAAAGCGCATGCAGGTGCACGGAGAGACGATCTCAACGGACACCTCACTCTCCTTTGGAAACCGGACAGGCGGTTAGCCGTTCGGGACAGAAAAGCGTTAGGGACAGAAAAGCATTAGGGACAGACGAGTATGCGACTAGTGAGGGAGCAACCCTAAACCAGGGACCCGCCTTCTGGGGAGATCCGAAGCGCTTTCCGCGTGGCACTTGGGTTTCACACTGGCTGATGCCATGTGCACACCTCATCGTACGTTCTTTCCTATTCACATCATCGTGTGTTCTTTCCTATTCACATCATCGTGTGTTCTTTCCTATTCACATCATCGTGTATTCTTTCCTATTCACATCATCGTGTGTTCTTTCCTATTCACATCATCGTGTGTTCATTCCTATTCACATCATCGTGTGTTCTTTCCTATTCACATCATCGTATGTTCTTTCCTATTCACATCATCGTGAGTTCTTTCCTATTCACATCATCGTGTGTTCTTTCCTATTCACATCATCGTACGTTCTTTCCTATTCACATCATCGTGTGTTCTTTCCTATTCACATCATCGTGTGTTCTTGCCGACTTGTGTAAGCTCCTACTCACCGGTTTGCATTCAGTATGGAGTTGCAAGCGGACAGCCCCACTCTCTCGATGTGCAGACGCGCCGGCAAGTGGCGCCGGCACTCACCAGCGCGGTGGAGAGCAGGAAGCGGACCGGGTAGGGCGTCCACCGCGGGCGGGCAGCAGCCCTCTGCTCGTGAGTCATGCGCGCTGTGGATGCCGATGCCAATGCTAGCGGGCTGCTGCGCGTGATGAGCGAGAGGGGAAAGAAACCCCCCTGGTGGATGGTGGATGCGTGGAGAGGAGGGGAGGGCAAAAGAGCAAACAGGAGAAACTGGTCAAACTGCTCAAGCATTTGGCGTCCCCAGGGCCATTTTTTTGCAAAGAACCAACCACAGCCTCGAGAGCTTGAAGAAGCTTGGATTGACGATAACGCACCTGTATGTGCCTGTCTGCTCACCTTGACGCCTTGACTGTCACCATCGCCACCGTCACAACCATCAGAAGCATCGCCACCACCCCCATCAACAGCGGAGCTGTGGTGCGAGTCCCCATGTGGATCCAGCACCCACTGCATCTCCTCTGGTGGTATACCACCCCCCGTGTCCTCACATGCCATCACCACCATCCACTCGCCCTCCTCCCTCGCCCGGCACGCCCCCTCCACCCACTCCCTCACCTCCTTCTCCAACCGCCCATGCCCAGCCTGTGCCTCCTCGCCCTGCTCCCCTCTCTCCTCCCTCTCATCACTCATGCCTGCTGCAGCGGCCACACGCCTGCAGCTGTGCTTGACGCACCCCATCAACCCGATGAGCCCCTTCTCTCCGCCCAATCGGATGGCAGCCCCGGCGCCTGCCCGGCTGCCGTGGCTCGCTGGCAGGCGCTGAGGGAGGCACGCCAGGCGGGTGGGAGGTGGGAAGCGGCGCACACAGGCAGCCAGCTGCTGCCACGCTGACGAGGCTGGGGGGGCTGGAGAGGGGGGGGAAGCGTTGAAGTCGTGCGAGGCATGGGAGGGGGGGGCAGTAGTGGATGCGCCGTGCAGATTGAAGCAGTTGATCGACGCGGGGGGAGGCGGCGGGGGAGGGATGCAGCAGACGTGGAAGGTGACGTGGCCGGCCATGGTGTTGCTCTTGGCGTGGGCTGCAGGGGAGATGGCATGGAAAGGGTAGAGGGGGTGTTGGTGTACAAAGAGGGAGGGGAGTGAAGAGGTGCAATGACGGGCTGAGAGTACGGGTTTGGGATCAAGGGCTGCCACCAAGCGCCATGGCGGAGGTGCAGACAAGGGCATGCCATCGCCACAGATCTCACGATCCATGGGTCCTATGATGAGGATGCTCGGGCCTTGGCTATGCGATACTGGGTTCACCAAGAGGGCAGCCCTTAATCCCAAATTGAGCCTGCGCTGGAACTCGAGGGTCTCAAGCCAAGCAATCACCGGTGACCTCTCCCATGCCCGCCTCACCTGTGAGCTCGCCTCTCACCTGTGAGCTCGCCTCTCACCTGTGAGCTCGCCTCTCACCTGTGAGCTCGCCTCTCACCTGTGAGCTCGCCTCTCACCTGTGAGCTCGCCTCTCACCTGTGGGCTCGCCTCTCACCTGTGAGCTCGACTCTCACCTGTGAGCTCGCCTCTCACCTGTGAGCTCGCCGATAACCTGCGCCAGGCGGGTGGGGTCGCCCATGAGCACACCCGGCACACCCTCGTCCACGTGGCAGGTCACTGAGGCGCACACACAGCACAGCAAGCACGGCCACAACCAGACAGAGCAACGAGTGTGAATGCATGGCCGGTGCTCGACCAATGTGAAACCAGATTGATATGTGGCAAGCACACTTATACCTTGCAGCTCTTTTATTTGTGCATCGCATGCAACGAGTGCAATGGCTTTGTGCGCGATGCGGCGCAGGCAGCAGGGCAGTGTCTCGAGCTGCAGGCGGCCTGCCTGCAGCTTGGCGAGGTCCAGCACGCGGTTGATGAGGTCCACCGTCTCTTCCGCACACGCCCTCGCGTCCCTCAGGTCCGCCCGCTGCCACTCCTCCAACGCCGACTCCAGCAGCTCCTCTATCATGCCTAAGGGGGGGGAGGTGGACGGGGATGAAGGAAATGGTGGCGAAAGAAAAGGCACACGAGGAAAGGCCTGACCCAAGGCAAGGCCCGACCCAAGGCAAGGCCTGACCCAAGGCAAGGCCTGACCCAAGGCAAGGCCTGACCCAAGGCAAGGCCTGACCCAAGGCAAGGCCTGACCCAAGGCAAGGCCTGACCCAAGGCAAGGCCTGACCCAAGGCAAGGCCTGACCCAAGGCAAGGCCTGACCCAAGGCAAGGCCTGACCCAAGGCAAGGCATGACCCAAGGCAAGGCCTGACCCAAGGCAAGGCCTGACCCAAGGCAAGGCTGACCCAAGGCCTGACCCAAGGCAAGGCCTGACCCAAGGCAAGGCCTGACCCAAGGCAAGGCATGACCCAAGGCAAGGCCTGACCCAAGGCAAGGCATGACCCAAGGCAAGGCCTGACCCAAGGCAAGGCCTGACCCAAGGCCAGGCCTGACCCAAGGCAAGACCTGACCCAAGGCAAGGCCTAACCCAACCCAAGGCAAGACCTGACCCAAGGCAAGGTTCCTCCGCTAATCCAGCCAACAGTGTCGTCGCCATGCGAGTATGGTGAACAGAAGAAGGCTGCATTTTTCGTAACAAGACCTGGGCAGTGCGGCACATGGCAAAGGCGACACAGAGCTTTGACTGGTTCTTCGCCATCACAAACGAGTAGCGAGCTAGGTGGGTGTGCAGGCAAATTCGTGATTACTATGAGCCTCCTCATAACGATGGCATCATAAATAGCTCAGACTACACAGAGAGCGGGGACAGCTAGCAGAGTGGGGATCGGAAGGGAGCCCCTTGCTGCATTTTCGTTTGCCGCGTGCAAACGAAAAACGCCAATGGCTGGCTGGTGCGATTCTCTCGCACACCTTCTCACTCACCTATCATGCCAATGATCGGGGTGCGCAGCTCGTGCGATGTGTTGGCCACGGTCTCGCTCTTGGAGCGCACAGCTGTCTCCAGCGCCGCCGTGCACAGCTGGATCTCCCTCACCCCTTCTGCCATCTGTGTGCGCTTCCATGCCAGCACCGCTATCACGGCGGACAGCAGCACCGCCACTATCAGCACCAGCAGGCCCAGCAGCATGGGCGCATACACCAGGTCCCAAGTGGGGTAGGCGCCCTCAAACCTACACACAGCATATTCGTGACGATGAGAGAATGGCGTGGCGTGGGAACAACAAGATGCCCAGGGGGGGCGATTTGACATGACGCCAGACGAACCCCAGAGGGGCACTGGAATGTGAAAGGTGGGAAATCTCCATTTGCAAAGCAGGCATCGATGCGCCATGGGCGGAGGAGGAATGGGCACATAAAAACTCTCAGATTATTTTCACAAGCGCAGTGCGCTCCATCCCTCACCTGCAGTGCGCCTCACCTGCAGTGCGCCTCATACGAGCGCCCCAGCAGGGCCTCAGGGAAGGGCTCCACGTGCTTAGGGGTGGGCACGACGGGCCCCGGCAGCACGAAGGGGTAGATGGCGCGGTTCTCCAGGCGCAGGGGCTCCGGCCCCACCACCTGGATGGGCTGGCCGGGGTCCGTGGTGTCGTACAGCGCCAGGGAGTAGGGACTGGTGCCTGGGGGGCAGCACACACACATGTATGCATGGCAGCACACACACATGCGTGGCAGCACCACACATGCCACAACACCAGCCGCACACTCGCAGCACCACACAATGCATGGCGTCAGACAGACACACATGGCACCAGGAGCACATGCGAGAAGCATGATACAACCAAGACGTTCTGCAATGGAGTAGAGGACACCATGGAGCACGTTGGAGGGAAGTGGGGCGACTTGGAAGGGAGTGGAGTTAGGGCCGTGCAGCCCAAACCACGGCAACGCACACAGGGGCGGAGCTTGTGAAGCATTCCACTAAGGATTTCGGGTTTAGGGTAGGCTTGAGCAACGGGTCGGGTCGGGTCGGGTAACCCGACCCGAACCCGACTTTTTGACGGGCGGGTCAGGTTTCCCGTCGCAAGAACCCGACCTGTCGGGTTTGATTTTTTCCCGTCGGGTCGGGTCAACCCGAACCCGACATGGACGGGTTCGGGTGAACCCGACATGTCGGGTTGACCCGACCCGACTTCGGGTTAGGCTTGAGCATAAACCCGACCCGACCCGACCCGACCCGACTTTGCCCTACCTGATGTCGGGTTCGGGTCGGGTCGGGTCGGGTCAAGTCGGGTCGATCCTAGGATTTCGCCGACCCGACCCGACCATAACAGGTCGGGTTATCTCTTACCCGTGGTCAGGTCGGGTCGATCCAACCCGACCAGACCCGACTTGACCCGACCTTCGTATTTTTTCCTGAGGGAAACATATGGATTTCGTAATTTCGAGATCCAGTATGTCCTCGTGTCTAGCCCACGCACCCACCTCATCCTCCCATACACAACCTCGAGATGTGGGTTGGATGTTGGCGAAAACCAGTCACAGTATGGGTGTTGGATTGGTTGGGAGTGTTGGCGAAAAATTGTTGGCGATTTTTTTGCTGGTTTGGGGGTGTTGACGAGATTTGGGGTGGGTTGCGGGTGTTGGCGAAAATCGGGTGGGTTGGGGGGGTGCTGGCGAAAATTCGGATGGCATGGGGGTGTTGGCGAAAATCGGGTGGGTTGGGGGGGTGCTGGCGAAAATTCGGATGGCATGGGGGTGTTGGCGAAATTCGGTTGGGTTGGGGATGTTGGCGAAATTCGGATGGTTTGGGGGTGTTGGCGAAATTCGGTTGGTTTGGGGGTGTTGGCGAAATTCGGATAGGTTGGGGGTGTTGGCGAAATTCGGATGGGTTGGGGGGGGTGTCGAGCTTGGCTGTTGAATAGGTGTGTTGGTTGAGTCGATCCAATCGAAATCGATCTGGATCTGCCTAGACCCTAAGCTATACCAATAAGCATGGTGGGGAGTAGATTAGTGTTAGGAATGAGCTGGATGCAGGGTAGAAACGGGAGGTAGCCTGAGTAGGATCTGGGAAATGACCCATTTGGACGAAAATTCGGCCAAATAATCAGATTTTCCAGATCTGCGCAACTCTGGTCGCTCAGATCGCGTCGGTTCAAGGGGCAGCCCGGGTCGGGTCGGGTCGGGTCAACCCAACGATGTATACCCGAAGTCGGGTCGGGTCAACCCGACATGTCGGGTTCACCCGAACCCGTACATGTCGGGTTCGGGTTGACCCGACCCGACGGGTAAAAATCAAACCCGACGGGTCGGGTTTTGCCTACGGGAAACCTGACCCGACCCGTCAAAAAGTCGGGTTCGGGTCGGGTTACCCGACCCGACCCGACCTGTTGCTCAAGCCTACTTCGGGTATACATCGTCGGGTTGACCCGACCCAACCCGACCCGAAGTCGGGCCGCGCCTCGACCCGACGCAATCTGCGCGACCTGAGTTGCGCAGATCTGGAAAGTCTGACGGTTTGGTCGAATTTTCGACCAGATGGGCCATTTTCCAGATCCTACGTAGGCTACCTCCCACTTCTACCCTGCATCCAGCTCATTCCTAACACTAATCTACTCCCCACCATGCTTATTGGTATAGCTTAGGGTCTAAACAGACCCAGATCGATTTCTATTGGATCGACTCAACCAAACAAGCTCGTCGACACCACCACCAACCCAACCAACTTTTCGCCAACACCCCCAAACCAACCAATTTTCGCCAACACGCCCAACCCAACCAATTTTCGCCAACACGCCCAACCCAACCAATTTTCGCCAAACTCCCAACCAAACCAACTTTTCGCCAACACCCCCAACCCAAACAATTTTCGCCAACACGCCCAAACCACCCGAATTTTCGCCAACACCCGCAACCAAACCAAAGGCTCGCCAACACCCCCAAGCCAACCAATCTTTCGCCACACCCCCAAACCAACCAAAAAGTCGCCAACACCCATTCATTCCGTCATTGGTTTTCGTCAACATCCTCCAACCTAACCAATACTTCGCCAAAACCCAAAACCACATGTCGAGGTTGCGGGGGGATGAGGTGGGTGGGCTAGGAGACACGAGGAGGACTCACTGGATCTTGAAATTACGAAATCCAGCTGTTCCCCCCCGGGAAAAAAATAGCTTCTAGTTAGGTCGGGTCAAGTCGGGTCGGGTCGCATCAACCCGACCCGACCGCGGGTAGGAGATGACCCGACCAGCTATGGTCGGGTCGGGTCGGCAAAATCCTAAGATCGACCCGACCCGACCCGACCCGAACCCGACCTCAAGCCTAGTTTAGGGTGGCGTGTGGGGGAAAGAAATCGGACCGTTTTGCAGCAGAGCGAGGAGCTCCTTGAGTTTAATTTCGAGGAAGTAGAGCCCCGCCCACATGGTGCTGATGCTCTCCCTCAGCTGCTCCGCCGTCGCCCCCGCTGGCACGGGGTGGCGCAGGATGGGCACCACGAACACTGCACGCACCGCAGGGGACACACGGCAGCGCCAGGCGCACATGAGACGAGGCAGTAAAAGGTGACAAGAGACGTGGCCTCCTTGGTGCTCCCCCCCTTCTTGGTGCTCCCCCCCTCCTTGGTGCTCCCCCCCTCCTTGGTGCTCCCCCCCTCCTTGGTGCTCTCCCCCTCCTTGGTGCTCCCCCCCTCCTTGGTGCTCACCCCCTCCTTGGTGCTCCCCCCCTCCTTGGTGCTCCCCCCCTCCTTGGTGCTCTCCCCCTCCTTGGTGCTCCCCCCCTCCTTGGTGCTCCCCCCCTCCTTGGTGCTCACCCCCTCCTTGGTGCTCCCCCCCTCCTTGGTGCTCCCCCCTTCCTTGGAGCTCCCCCCCTCCTTGGTACTCCCCCCCTCCTTGGTGCTCCCCGCTCCTTGGTGCTCCCCCCTCCTTGGTGCTCCCCCCCTCCTTGGTGCTCCCCCCCTTCATGGTGCTCCCCCCCTCGAGCTCCCCCCCTCCTTGGTGCTCCCCCCCTCCTTGGTGCTCCCCCCTCCTTGGTGCTCCCCCACTCCTTGGTGCTCCCCCCCTCCTTGGTGCTCCCCCCACCTTGGTGCTCCCCCCCTCCTTGGTGCTCCCCCCCTCCTTGGTGCTCCCCCCCACCTTGGTGCTCCCACCCTCCTCGGTGCTCCCACCCTCCTCGGTGCTCCCACCCTCACCGGTGCCCCCACCCTCACCGGTGCCCCCACACCCACCGGTGCCCCCACACTCACCGGTGCCCCCACCCTCACGGGTGCCCCCACCCTCACCGGTGCCCCCACACACACCGGTGCCCCCACCCTCACCAGTTCCCCCACCCTCACCGGTGCCCCCACCCTCACCGGTGCCCCCACACTCACCGGTGCCCCCACCCTCACCAGTGCCCCCACCCTCACCGGTGCACCCACTTTCACCGGTGTCCCCACACACACCGGTGCCCCCACCCTCACCAGTTCCCCCACCCTCACCGGTGCCCCCACCCTCACCGGTGCCCCCACACTCACCGGTGCCCCCACCCTCACCAGTGCCCCCACCCTCACCGGTGCACCCACTTTCACCGGTGTCCCCACACACACCGGTGCCCCCACCCTCACCAGTGCCCCCACCCTCACCGGTGCCCCCACCCTCACCGGTGCCCCCACCCTCACCGGTGCCCCCACACTCACCGGTGCCCCCACCCTCACCGGTGCCCCCACCCTCACCGGTGCCCCCACACTCACCGGTGCCCCCACCCTCACCAGTGCCCCCACCCTCACCGGTGCACCCACTTTCACCGGTGTCCCCACACACACCGGTGCCCCCACCCTCACTAGTGCCCCCACCCTCACCGGTGCCCCCACCCTCACCGGTGCCCCCACAGTCCCCGGTGCCCCCACCCTCACCGGTGCCCCCACCCTCACCGGTGCCCCCACACTCACCGGTGCCCCCACCCTCACCAGTGCCCCCACCCTCACCGGTGCACCCACTTTCACCGGTGTCCCCACACACACCGGTGCCCCCACCCTCACCAGTGCCCCCACCCTCACCGGTGCCCCCACCCTCACCGGTGCCCCCACACTCACCGGTGCCCCCACCCTCACCGGTGCCCCACACTCACCGGTGCCCCCACCCTCACCGGTGCCCCCACCTTCACCGGTGCCCCCACACTCACCGGTGCCCCCACCCTCACCAGTGCCCCCACCCTCACCGGTGCCCCCACACTAACTGGTGCCCCCACCCTCACCGGTGCCCCTAATTTCACCCATGCCCCCACCCTCACCAGTGTATCAGAAACTGAGAACTTCATTGATAGAATGAACAAGAGCATACATCCTAAATTACCGAGCATCGGAGAGGATGGGAAGGGATAAGGGAGAATCGGAGGGAATCCCGAGGGAATCCTCCCAAATCGTGGGGATTTGGGATGGATTGGGTTGGGTTGGGATAGGTTGGGGATTAAAACATAGCTACACCCAACCTAACAAATATGTGTATCCCTAAAGCCAACAAATTGCCAACACACAAAGTTGTGCCAACCGAATTGCAGCTTATCTCTAACACACCCCTTAGGCTGCAACGTCGGAAGCCGTAGGGACGCACAACTGCCCTCGCTGGACGAGCTGGCGCATGAAGATGTGTCTCAGTTCGATATGCTTGGTCCGTTGGTGGAAGACAGGGTCTTTGGTGAGGTGGATGGTGCTCTCGTTATCACACCACAGAGTCGGGGTCTGCTGAGGATACCCGAGCTCAGCCATGAGGTAGGTAAGCCATCGAGCTTCTTGGGCTGCCATGGTGCCTGCGTATAGCTCAGCTTCGCAGGATGACAATGAGACGGATGATGATCGTGTAGATCGCCAGCTGATGACACCACTGCCAAGGGTGAAGCAATAGCCTTAGGAAGAGCGGCGGTCAGCTTGATCATCAGCCCATGAGGAGTCGCTGTATCCCTCGAGGTGAGGAGGGGTCGTGCCACCGAGAGTGAGAACGTAGTCCTTAGTGGCTTGGAGGTAGCGAAGGACGCGCTTAGCAGCCGACCAGTGGCGATTGGTGTATCGACCGGCAGCAACGTAACGCGAGAGCACATTGATGGGGTAGGCGAGGTCGGGCCTTGTGCATATCATCGCATACATGAGTGATCCGACGAGCTCGAGGTATGCCTCATCACAAGGCTCAGGCGATGGAACTGATGGAGCGGTCGGATCATGCTGCAAGGGAAGGGGAGTAGCCACTGGCTTGGCGTTGTCCATGGCAAAACGCTTGAGGACGTTGTTTACATAGAGCTCTTGAGAGAGAGTGATGGTTCGACCTTCGCGACCCCGCGAGATTTCCATCCCAAGGTAGTTCTTGAGTTCCCCGAGGTCCTTCATGGCGAGAGCGTCCCCAAGAGCTTGCTTAACAGCTGCCAGCTCATCGGAGTCCTTGGAGACGAGAATCATATCGTCAACGTAGACGAGAATGAAGAACGGCTTCTCGTTCTTGCGAATGAAGAGACTCGGATCGGCTGAGGAGGGGTGGAAGTCGAGTGACTCGAGGGTGGCCTTCAGCTTCTTGTGCGATTCCCGAGGAGCTTGCTTCAACCCGTGGACTGGAAAGGGTAAGTGAAATCTTTGAGGACGTTCCGTGTAGATGTCCTCGGAGGGATCCCCTTGGAAAAATGCAGCAGAGACGTCCATGGAGTGAACGTCAAAGTTGCATCGAGCAGCGATGTCCAGCAGGGTCCGTAGTGTGGGCGGTTTGGCCGTCGGAGAGAATGTGTCGAAGAAGTCCAGGCCCTTCTTCTGCGTGAAGTCTTTTGCACAGTATCGTGCCTGACTGGGAGTTAGCCAGGGAGTTGTTTGACGCGAAAAAACCCATTTTCCACGGACAATGTTAACTCCTCGCAGAGGAGAGACGTCCGTGAAAGAGTGGTTACGAATGAATGCTTCACACTCCGCGATCATGGCTGCGAGTAGGCATGAGCAAAACCGGGTATTTACCCGACCCGACCCGGAACTGATATACCCGACTTCGGGTCGGGTACGGGTCGGGTAACATGCCCAGGACCAATACCCGGACCCGTGATTTGGCGACGGGTAATTTAATACCCGCCCGGCGGGTCCGGGTATACCCAACCCGGTTCCCTAGATAAGCGGGTAGAATTGCCCGCGTTTTCCTACCGTGCAAGGCTAAACCTACGATCTAAAAACACGAGTCGCGAGAGGAAGTAAGAGGTGCGCCAGATCTTTTACAGTTCAAGTGAGTAGGGCGTGAGTGGCGCGGTGGTTGGATTTTCTAGTTGAGATGGGGTTGTGTGCGGTTTTGGGGGGTTTGATATTTTGACCCCTAGAGTCAATTGGTTGGAACTCCAACCAATGTGGTGCTGTGCGGTTGGCTGGATTCAGGTTGGGGGAAATTCGATTGGTTTGAATTCCAACCAATTTCCCCCAATTCAACCGCTCCGAATGCATCTGGATCTACGAAATCCAACCCCTGCCGCTCTAGAATGCTCTACGTGACCTAGCAGCTCACGTAACCTAGAAATTTCTCTACCAGCGCGACCAATGTCGCGCTGGTTCCGTCGGGTAGACACGCTACCCGATCTCGGGTCGGATACCCGTTACCCGAGGTGTCAGGTAACGTTTCGGGTAACGGGTATCGAATACCCGCCCAGGTAACCCGGACCCGACCTGCCGGGTAATTTTCAGGATTCCCGATACCCGACCCGCCCTTAAAGCGGATCCGGGTACCGGGTACCTGACCCGGGCGGGTAGTATGCTCAAGCCTAGCTGCGAGCCACTGAGGGGACTGTGGTCCAGAGATGGCTTCATCATACGAGTTCGGAGTCGGGATGAGTGGATTTTCTAAGAACTTAAGAGTTGGAGCGTCGGCAAGATCGGGGAAGAGATAGCAGAGCTGATGGATGGCAGCATTGATCTCAATCAGCTCCTCATGCCTATCCTCCAAGAGGCCGGGCATGGATGCACCCCCGGCAGGAGGAGGCGGATTGAGGGAGATGCGAACAGAGAGGGCGAGAGGTGGAGCGGGACCATGAGAGCGGGTGCGGTGAGCAATAGGGACAGGAGGAGGGAGGTGGCGAGGGAGGAGGTGGAACGTCGACATAAGAGCGTCCGTGGCGGTGGCGACGATTGGTGACGGGCGAATCGGAGAAGAGGTGGAGGTTGGAGGTGAACGCGGGGACGGAGGTGCGGGGGCAGGGGGAGGCGCAGTGTGCCCTCACCCTCACCTAGGCTTGAGCATGAACCCGACCCGATCCGACTTTGCCCTACCCGATGCCGGGTTCGGGTCGGGTCGGGTCAAGTCGGCTCGAAGCTCGGGAAATGTCAACCCGACCCGGGTTTAATAAGTCGGGTACTACCTGAACCGATTTCGGGTCGGGTCGGGTCGGGTTGGCATAGGGGCAGGGACGGGTAATAAGCCGACCCGACGGGTCGGGTTTTGTCGGTCGGGTCGGGTCGGGTCGGGTCGCGTCGGGTTGACCCTCCGCAATTGTCGACCCGACCCGTCAAAAAGTCGGGTTCGGGTCGGGTTACTTGACCCGACCCGACCCATTGCTCAAGCCTACCCTCACTGGTGCCCCCACACTCACCGATACCCCCACCCTCACTGGTGCCCCCACACTCACCGGTGCCCCCACCCTCACCGACGCCCCCACCCTCACCGACGCCCCCACCCTCACCGGTGCCCTCACCCTCACCCGTGCCCCCACCCTTACCCATGCCCCCACCCTCATCGGTGTCCCCACCCTCACCGCTGCCCCCACTCTCACCGCTGCCCCCACCCTCACCGGTGCCCCCACCCTCACCGGTGCCCCCACCCTCACCTGTGCCCCCACCCTCACCGGTGCCCCCACTCTCACCGATGCCCCCACCCTCATCGGTGCCCCCACCCTCACCCGTGCCCCCACCCTCACCGGTGCCCCCACCCCACCCTCACCAGTGCTGACGCGCTGCTTGCCGATGAAGACAGGTGGGGACGAGGCGGGCGAGCCCTGGAGGAAGGTGGCGAGGATGTCGGGCGGCACAATGGCGGAGAAGTCAGTGAAGGGCGCAAGGGGCTGGGCGGGGTCGACGCTGCCCAGCACGTTGATGATATAGAGCGGCTTGCGGGGGGACGGCAGCCCCAGCAGCGACACGATGCGCATCCCGGTAATGCTCTCCACCAGGGGCCTGGGGGGAAGGGGAGGTGGGGGGGTGCGATAGGGGCGGCGGATGTGCGGCAGCAGGGTGGGTGGAGGGCAGTGGCATAATGGCACACATTGCTTCATCCATAGTATGGCATGTTAAAGCATGTCAATCCATGGCGTTCCAATGCGGGTGTGGCATGGCATGGCATGGCATGGCATGGCATGGCACCGCATGGCATCAATACAAAAGTCACTGCTGCAAATTTGACTCATGCACCCTCTGCAACAAATTAGACTGCTTGCAAGCCCCCAAACCAACATAGTTTGCCAAGGAAGCACATGCCGTACCAGCAACTGGTCGTTGCTTGGGTGACAGTGCACATTCATTCAGCCACAGTTTACACGCAAACACATCCACATGCACGCACACGCAGCTGTGCAGTGCACACACATGGACGCATCCACATACCCACACACATGTGTCTTCGCATGCACGCGCACACAAACGCAATCACACGCACACACCCTTTCACACACAAGCACACGCCCACGCACTCCCCCCCCCCCCAACCCCCCCAACACCCCCAACACCCCCCACCGGTCAGCATCCTGGACGAGCATGACGAGCGAGCCCGTGGTGAGGCGTGCAATGCTGAGCGTGGCGTCGTTGTAGCGCGCCAGGCTCTCGTTGTTGGCGCACCCCGCCAGGCCCCAGTACGTGAGGTTGGTGGCGCTGCGCGGACCGTACCCATTGAGCACCTTCACCAACGCCGACATCTCCTGCAGCCCAGCACAGCACAGCACACGCGGAGGGGGGTCTGGGCATGCACGGATGGGCGCAAGGGCATGCACGGATGGGCGCAAGGGCATGCACGGATGGGCGCAATGGCATGCACGGATGGGCGCAATGGCATGCACGGATGGGCGCAATGGCATGCACGGATGGGCGCAATGGCATGCACGGATGGGCGCAATGGCATGCACGGATGGGCGCAATGGCATGCACGGATGGGCGCAATGGCACGGATAGGGAGGGTGCAGTGGCATGGCGGGCATACTATGGACGTGAGCTCTGCCTCCCAGCCCTCTGCCTCCCAGCCCTCTGCCTGCCAGCCCTCTGCCTGCCAGCCCTCTGCCTCCCAGCCCTCTGCCTCCCAGCCCTCTGCCTGCCAGCCCTCTGCCTGCCAGCCCTCTGCCTGCCAGCCCTCTGCCTGCCAGCCCTCTGCCTGCCAGCCCTCTGACTGCCAGCCCTCTGCCTGCCAGCCCTCTGCCTGCCAGCCCTCTGCGTGCCAGCCCTCTGCCTGCCAGCCCTCTGCCTGCCAGCACTCTGCCTCCCAGCCCTCTGCGTGCCAGCCCTCTGCCTCCCAGCCCTCTGCCTCCCAGCCCTCTGCCTCCCAGCCCTCTGCCTCCCAGCCCTCTGCCTGCCAACCCTCTGACTGCCAGCCTTCTGCCTGCCAGCCCTCTGCCTGCCAGCCCTCTGCCTCCCAGCCCTTAGCCTGCCAGCCCTCAGCCTGCCAGCCCTCTGCCTCCCAGCCCTCTGACTGCCAGCCCTCTGCCTCCCAGCCCTCTGCCTGCCAGCCCTCTGCCTGCCAGCCCTCTTCCTGCCAGCCCTCTGCCTGCCAGCCCTCTGCCTCCCAGCCCTCTGCCTCCCAGCCCTCTGCCTGCCAGCCTTCTGCCTCCCAGCCCTCTGCCTCCCAGCCCTCTGCCTGCCAGCCCTCTGCCTGCCAGCCCTCTGCCTGCCAGCCCTCTGCCTGCCAGCCCACAGCCTGCCAGCCCTCTGCCTGCCAGCCGTCTGCCTCCCAGCCCTCTTCCTCCCAGCCCCTTTCCTCCCAGCCCTCTGCCTCCCAGCCCTCTGCCTCCCAGGCCTCTGCCTGCCAGCCCTCTGCCTGCCAGCCCTCTGCCTGCCAGCCCTCTGCTGGCCTCCCTGCTCGCCTCCCTCCTCCTCTCGCTTCCCCTCTCTTCCATCGCCAGCCCCATCCGCTGACGCCACCTCACCGGGCGCCACAACTTGCTCGCACTGTCAATGCGCACTCCCAGCGGCTCACTAGGACATGCTTTCCCCAACTTGCTCCATGACCGCGCTGAGTTCCGCCATGGGCGCACGGCGTCCTCTAGTAGGATCGCATGCCCCTGCGACAAACATGGCGCACCTGCACGCGCGCGACGGACGAGAGCAGGCGCTGGTAGAGGTAGCGCACGCGCGTGTGGCACCACCCACGCATCGCGTCGTCCCGCGGATTGGCGGCCTGCGTGTGCGCGAACCACACCACCCACGCGCACAGCCCCACCCATCCCGCCACCCACGCCGCCCCTAGCAGCACCCGCCACGCGCCCCGCGACGAGAGGCGCCACATGAGACGGCGGAGGCCTTTTGCGGAGCAAGGAGAGAGCGCAGCGCCGTAATTCGGGGGGTGGGGGGACGCGCAGGGGCTTGCATGGGGGGGGGGGAGGGCCTTGGAAGCGTGGGAGGGGAAGGGGGGGAGTTGAGGGAGGAGGATAGAATGCGGGGCTTGGTGCTGAAGTTGGGTTGGCTCGCGTAGTGGATGGCACTGCTGCGTGGTTCAGTGGGTGTGCTGCCTGCAGTCACGCGCTCAGATGCGCGGCATCATGGGATATCGCCGTCCCACGCCTTTCAGGTGGAGTGATTCTGCAGCCAATCGTCGCCTGTTGTCTCGCTTGTAATTCTCGAGAGGCCAAAAGGACCCTCAGTACACTAAGGGGGCGTGGTAAGCAGGGCAAAAAACGAACTGTCGAACGGACGAACGGAGTGGACGAACGGAGCCGCCGTCCAACTTACTACGCGCCCTAAAACGTATAGCCACAGAAACAAATCATCAAATTTAGTTCATTTCCATAGAAGTTTATGAATGCTATATAACATGTGTTTCCTCCGCACACAAAGAAGCTTTTGTAAGAGCGTAACCTACCAGCCTCTTCCCAGGCTACCCTCTTCCCAAGATCGGTCCTCGCCAAGAAAAACGCGCGCTCCGCCCAATCCTTGACTTGGCTAAATTGCGCCACCCCTATCAAAGTTAACTAATGACTACAAACAAGGCATACAAAAGGGAATATAACCTAGTTGGTTGTACTCTCTAAGACACAACCCTGTGTAATCTATAACAACATACAAGGATATGTTTGACACACCCCCTAGACTGGATAAGGGCAGTGCCTGGTGAGAGACAAGCAGCTCAGGGTGGCAAAACTAGTCCAGCCTCTGAGGCAGGGGTCTAAAGACAAGTCAAACGAGTACAAACAAGGCAAGAGCAAGACCAAGGCAGCACTACTAGTCTAGCCACTGGGAAGAGACCATAAGGCCGGTCATGGATATAAAGGTCTATACATAATCAAATCCTAGCAAATGAGAGGCTACAGGAACGAGACCTAGCTGTACACAGTGCCACTGATGATCTTTACGTGCGAGCGCCTTCGTAAAGATATCAATTGTGTTGGCACTGGAGGCCACAAAAAATGGGGTGCACCGGCATGGATCATGGAGGTACTAGCCGCCTCCATGACCAAATCGATGCGTCGCTCAGTGACCCCATTCTGCTGCGGGGAGTCCGGCAGGGTGAACGTATCGGTGATGCACGACAGAAGCGACAAAGGCAGCCAGAGGCGACCTCGCCACTACGGTCAGAGTGAAGACGCAAGACAGGGAGACCTCGGTGAACACGCGCAGAGACAAGCCACGGGATAAGAATGTCAAGCACGTCAGCCTTCCGCTCCAGGGGAAACACCGTGGTGTAGAGCGTGTAGTCGTCGACAAGCACTAGGAATTAACGCTCTCGATGCGGCCCATGGACGGGGGCGGGGCCCCAAACGTCCATGTGCAGGGTCTGCAGCGGTCCAGCGGTGGGGGAGAAACGAGGAGGAGTGAGGGGCAGAACGGAGCCGGTCCTCGACACAAGGCGTGCACGACGGCGCTGGTGAGGAGGGTAGTTCGGGGAATGACTCAGGGAGACCTAAGACAAGACTCTGCTAAGACTTGTGACGAAGCCATGAAAGGGAAGGGTAACCTAGACGGTGGTGCCATAGAAGCGTCGGGTGAGTGAGCGACCGGCACGAGCAAGCCGCAGCAACCTGGGTAGACGCAGACACCTGGGGAGGCATCCCAACCAAGGGGGATGTGGTGTCCAGCGTGAACAGGTCAGACACCGGGTCCCAGGGGAACGTGGTGAGGGGAGCACCAGTGGCGGCCTTCGCACACATCGCGTACCGCTCATGTCCAGGGAACGTAGTGGTGACGCCAAGGTCCTGGAGGCAGCCGACACCAACTAGGTTCCTAGAGAACGAGGGGATGTGCAGGCCTGTAAGGGAGCCCGAGGAAACCGCCGGACAGGGAAGGGTGGTGGAGCTACGGGCGATTATAGGACCTGAGGAAGGGTCTGCAAGTGCAACTGCAACAGGAGCGGCAAGCGGCGTGAGCGTAGTGGAGTCCCGAAAGAAACACCGGGAGGCGCTGGAGTCCAGGGTGAAGGAGAGCGCGGCAGTGGCGGCAGGGGTCGAAGGAGCGAGGGTGGAGCCAAGGCTAAACAAAGCAGGGGATCCTACGCCTGACGCAGCAGGGGAGTATGAACTGGGCACACTAGGCACACCTTCACTAGGCAACACGAGGTAATAGGAACCAGTCACACTAGAGTCATCGATGTGAGAGTCCGACCCCGTTACACCACTTGTCCCTTTTCTTATTTCCTTCCTCTTTCATTTCTCTTTTTATCGCATCTCATTTGGTTTCCTATTCTCCATTTTCCATTAAACCTTTGGTTTATCCTGCTATCATAATTGTATGACCAACCAGGCTTGGGATGTACTGGTGCGCTATCTGGCGCAATCCTGCCGTAATCCCTTAGAGCCCATAGCCTCGCATGGCTATACGCAGGGTGATTCTATCTTCTAGAAGGGTCTATTCTCTTAGGATCGGATTAACCTGGTTGCCTGATGTACCTTGGAAGTATAAAAGCGCCTTGTACTGATCGATAGTGCAACCTTTCCTCGACACATTCGATCATGTAACACTTGGTAATCAGAGCTTTTCTCACTCGACCGCGCTCAGCTAAGCAGCAGCAGCTCGGGATCGTGCCTCGAAAAACCGCCGGGGGCGACCAATTCGACGCCGATTCTGGTAAGCACCAGCTCCGCGTTTTTTCGAATTAACCCCTCCGCGCGTGTTTTTGAACAGGATGGCGAACCTCGACACCGCCGGGGTTACCCAGCAGCTCTTCGCGCGCATCGCAGCCCTTCAGGAGGAGATACGAGCGGACCGCGAAGCGTGGCGAAACGAGTTCGAGCAAGCAACTCGACTCGTCGGAGCGCAACACGACTCGACAACGGCGACGACGCAGCAGTCGCAGCAGTTTCTCGAGGCTCCGAAACCGCGCCCACCTAAGCCGTTCGATCCCAGCGATCGAAACTCCGACGTCCGCGGATGGATCGCCGGCATGGAGATCTACTTCGCAGCCGTCAGATGGAGCTCGCCAGTCTGGGACGGTCAACGCGTACGACTCGCGGCAACACTGATGCGAGGGCCGGCACTCGAGTGGATTGGCGGCAACAGTACCTTCATCCACGGTGAAGCCATGTGGCAGCAGTTCCGTGCCGACCTGCTCAAACGATTCGAGCCGATAAATTCGAGTTTCCTTGCCCGGGAAAAAAATCATCGACATCGACAGTTCGGGAGTGTAGCACAGTACACGCAGCAGATGGAGGAATTTTATAACCGCATTCCCGACCTGACCGAAGGGGAAAAAGTACAGTCGTACCTCGCCGGGCTGAAGACCGAAGTCAAACGACAAGTGGCAGCGTCAAACTACGCGAGCCTGTGACGTCGTATCGGCAGCGGAGCGCTTCGACATGGTCAACGCCGGGACACGACGGACGCACGTCGGCAGTACGCGACAGGGCGACCGCTCGGCTCACACCACGTTCGCCGACCCGATGGAAGTCGACAGGTTCGAGGGGCGGCCACGTCCGAAAAACACCAACTACACGTGTGATTTTTGCGGAGTGCCGGGTCATCGAATCTTCGACTGCAACAAAATGAAAACCGCACGCGCAGAGTATCGGGCACGCAACAGTGGCGGGATTCCTTCGGCCAATCAGAAGACAAAAAACGGGAGTCGCCAGTGATTGCGGATCTAGCTGGCGAAAATAAAAAGATCCGGAAGCGACCACGGGATTCCGAGAAAATCAACTTCGACGCAGCTGATTCGACGCGAACACGAGAAAATGATGGGGAAAAATCTCCACCCCACGACCAATCTTTGCCAGAGGAATTCGCCGAGGAAAAATCTAACTCCGCAAAAAAGGACTCTGCCGAAACGGGGAAACTCCTTGAAGACCCAAAAAATTATAAGGATTCCTTAAAGTTTTCTTATAAAGATGCTTTAATGAAAACTTGTAATTCTCAAGGGGCTAGAGCCTTGGAGAAATTTCAGGAGAGATTCCAGAGGAAGCAGAAAATTATGGAGATCGTACCGGTACCGGGGAACTTGGGGACCAAATTAAGGAGTGTGGAAAGAAGCCAACCTTTCCACGGAGTCAATGTCCTCTCCCGACACCAGCCCACAGCGACTACCCGTTCCCCAGGGAAGACGTCGGTGGAGCTGAAGCAGCTCAAAAGGAAGCTGGGGGCCTACAAGAAGCTGCGAAAGCCCCGAACTCCTTCTTATCCGGATGCATCCAACACGGCAACTTCGTCAACGACACGAACAGTCGTCAAGGAAACTCCTGGCCCTGGAGAAGATCCTTTCTCCAAGCAGCCTCGGTCAGCTGCCAGCTTAGGAGTAGGAAGCAACGACTATTGAGATGTACCCTATGACCCAATCAATGAAACTATCTTTGGGTGCTCCGAGCAACGCCTGCCCCTCGTGCTCGAGGTCATCTGCAAAGGACGACACCTCCAAGCACTCGTGGACAGCGGAGCATCGCACACTGTATGCGACAAGGCAACCATCGACCGACTTCGAGAAGAGTACAAGCCTTCAGGATTTTCTGCAACGATGGTGGACCGCAGCAAGTTACCAGTACACGGCGAAGCAGTGCTACACCTACAAATCGGGCCACTGCGCTGGAGACCTGCACTCCCCATCACCAACATCAAAGGGCTTGACTTGATCTTCGGGCGAGACTTCCTGAAAAGATTCAACCCCGAGATCAACTGGGTGAGCCGCACCGCGAGCATCTACAACAATGGACGGAGAGTACAGCTACCCAACTGGGACGATACCGGAGATATCCCAGTGGAGACACTCGCCAGATTCGAGAAGGACGTAAAGCAAACCGACACCGGGTTCCTGGCGATAGCAACAGAGGTGGAGAATGACGGAGAGAAAGCCTCGGAACCTCCAGAAAAAATCAAGGAATTACTGAAGGAGTTCCAAGACATTCTTCCTGACGATCTTCCGAGCGAGCTACCGCCATACCGAACGCATCAACACGAAATCGTGGAGAAACCGGGTTCGAAGCCGACCTTCCAAGAACCATACCGGCTCAGCCCTACGGAGCAAACCGATATGAAAAAACAGATCGAGTATCTCCTAGCCAAAGGACTCATCCGACCATCCACTTCGCCATACGGTGCCCCAATACTCTTCACACCGAAACTGGACGGAAGCCTACGCATGTGCATCGACTACCGAGCTCTTAATAAGCAGACCATCAAGAATAACTATCTGATACCACGAATCGATGACCTGCTTGACCA